CAGGCCAGACCAGCCCCTCACCTCACTCTGCCCCTCAGCCCCCCCTTGGCTCCCTCCTGCTCACGCCTTGGTGTCGGTGCCTGTGGGTGCGAAGCTGACGGGCTGGTAGCCCGGCTTGTCATCCTGCTTGCGGTAGTACATCCGTGTCACCACCGTCAAGATGAAGGTTTGTGGGATCAACAGCTGCAGGTTCATCTCTGGAAGAGGAGGACGATCATTTGAAGCCTCCTTCATGCACCATGCCCATTCCCTATGCTGCCCTGTGTGATGGAAGGGCTTGGCGAGGAGCAGGCGACACTGTTCCCCCATCTCCCAACTTACGCTGTGACCTGGCCTTGGAGGAGAACGGCGGCGAGCAGGCGATGTTGCCGTTGTTGGCCAGGATGCTGAAGATGGCAGGCTGCAGTGCCGTCAGGAGAAGGAGGATCTGCAACCACCAGCACCCAAAGTGGGGAGGGCTGTGCTGCTGCCGAGCTCCTGCCCTTCGCCTTCCCGTTCTCCCACAGCCAGACCTGGCTCTCACCCACCAGCAGCTCCTGCCCCACCATCTCCCCCAGCACCTCCTCATCCTCTTTGTGCTGGAGGAGCTCCTCACCTTGTGGGGCAGGACAGGAGCTCACCTGGAAGCAGGAGAACTTGGCCTTGATGTTCTGCTCAGTCAGGTGCAGCCGGGCCTGCCGGAAGAGGATGCCCAAGGCCCACAGCCCAAAGAGGGTGGAGACACCGATGATGGTGTTGATCCAGAGGGCCACGCTCTCTTCTGAGATCTGTGGGGGCGCACACAGGAAACACACCTGGGCTGACAAAGCTGCTGGGCAAGGCAGGGCTGGTGGAGGCTCCCTGTCCAGGACACCACCCTGCCCATCCCTGGGCCCTGGCACTCACGTCAGCAGGGTTGTAGTTCCCATCAGTGGCCAGGACCAGCCCCAGGAAGACGGCGAATGCCTTGAAGAAGGGATACTGGAAAGTCCCCAGCATCATCAGTTGAAGCTTTCTCCTGGCAAATAGAGAGAGACCAGTAGCACCCTTAGGTCCCCAAGCCCCCCGCCTGAGGACTTTTCTTCCACCCCAGAAGAAGCCGGGGCTGAAACCCCCTTGCCAAGGACTTCTCTTCCACCCAAGGGCGGGGGCTTATCCCAGCTCCCCCTCACCTGCTCATGGTGATTCGGGGCAGGCAGGGGCAGCAGCAGCAGCACGGCCCAGTGCTGACCACCATGGGCACGTCCTTCAGGGTGCTTAGCACTGCCTCCTTCCCCCCAAAGCCCTCCACCATGACCAGCATCAGGAGGTAGAAGCAGACGGCAAAGTACCTGAGGAGGAGGAAGGTAAGTCAGGCCCTGTAGGCTCCCCAGTGCCCCTGCCCAGGGGTAGGTGATACTCACGCCGTGGTAGCCATCTCCACCACCATCATCGAGCGTGGGATCCACAGCCCGAAGCAGCTGACCACGCACACGACCTGGGAGAGACGCAAACTTGGCACACAGCCGCTCCTCTCCTCCCATGGGCTGGCAACCCTTGGGTGGCCCTGGCCCCCCAGGGGGATGCCCCCCACCATCCCTGCACCCCAGCTCACCGTGGGGGCCGAGCTGCTCCAGCAGAGGGTCTTCATCTTGATGGGGCAGCGGATCTTGCGGGTGAGGTAGAAGACTTCTTCCACAAAGATCATAACTGACAGCAGCGTCATGATGGTGGCAAGGCCCGTGATGGCTAGTTGGGGCATGTCCAGCTCTGCCAGGGAGGGGTGA